AAAAGGCAAATAATCATAATAATTCATTCTTCATGTTAAAAGAGAGATCCAAAGATGATCAGTAAGCGGTCTAGTATGTATCTTTGGGTCACTCTTCTAGCAAAGAGATTCATTTGTCCCATTCACATCCATGAGAAGGAATTGTGTAGCATTCAAAGCACACAGCATTATCAATATCAAGCAGGCATTACATAAATACAGTTTTGCATGAAGTACCAAATGTTGGATACACTAGGGACAATAATATTTACAGTCCTAATCCTGAGTGAAAGCTTTTCTCCCTATAATGTTCCTCGATAAATACTGCATGGCACTGGCTATTGGCTGTCATAAGCTGTGTGTCAAATTGCCAGACGTGTTTCTGAAACATCCTCTACTTTGCCCTTAGCATGGAAATGGGGGTTTATTTTGGCATTGCTTGTCACATGGTAAGTTTTGGTTCTTTGTTTACTTCATGTATTTTAAGATAAATATTTTTCTTGAAGACGTTTTATTTCTCACACTGCATAAAAGAATTATTTGCAGAACAAGGCAATCATCAAGATTATCAAACTCTTTTTTTTTTAAACCAGTTTCTTGTATTTTCAGTCCCTCGAAGGCAGATATTTTTAGTTGTTCTATGTATTCAGCTTTGAGTTCAGTGCCTTTAAACGCCATGGATATGTACACGATACCTTTTGAGAGTAAAATTATGCAGTAAATTATCCAGTGTCCACTCTGTTACGTTTTAAGTAGGCCCTCGCCAAATGACTTGTATTTACATGAGATACAGGGGCTACAGCATATTTATTAAGACTCTTCAACTCTGTAAGAAACTGGAGCAGTCAGAAGTAATGGTGTCTGCTGAAAGATTCTTTATCATGTGAATTTACTTTTAGTCATCTATTATTTATTTCAGCTATTTTATATGCCATTATAATAAATATTATGACAGAGAAAGCTTTTATGCTTCAACTTATTGTACTGCTCTTCACTTCCTTGCAATCCTTCAGGAAAATGTAGCTATGCTTTACCTATATTTAACGTAAATCATCACTTACATTTGAATGAAAAATTCACTATGAAAAAGAGCTCCTTCTTCAATACCAAGACACAAATGCACAATCATGTTTACTGCCAAGCTACTCTACCATGCAGTGTTCATTTTTAAACAGTTTTTAAGCTGTAAAGTGAGTACATTGCATATAGTGAAATTGCTTGCTTTCTGGATGTTTTCACTTTCTTGTTAGTTTCTGCCTCAATAAGCATTTTTCTAGCGTGAGTGCAAAATATAGCCAATTGCACATAAGTATTTTTAATATTTTTGCTTCAATGGGGAGCAACTTGCATACAAAACTAAATACAGTGTTTTCTGGTGTTATTTCTATCCAGAGCAATGAAACTTATCTGGAAATATTGATAAAATGCTTTCAGATCTTAACATATAACCATCAAATACGAGATAAAATTCTTACTTTGCATTTTTCAAAACATTCCAGTGTTGTTGGAGGGGGCCTTGTTAGGAGCTAGAGAATGATGTGTCTTTGGCTGCTTCTTCAAAGACATGATGCTGGTGCCTACATCTTGTTAGCCTTGAGCCGCTCTTTGGGCTGCACGAAATGCAAGTCCCCCCCAGAGCCCCTTCTCACTCAAAGGGTGCAACCACGTTTCTGGTATGCAGAATTGGTGTGGGTCTGGTGCAAGGGTAGCTTTAGGTGCTGTCAGGGTGTTTCTCTTGGGAATCTGCTGCAAGGGCAGCAGCTCGTTTGGCACAGGCTGTAGCTGGGCACTGTGTAGTAATGGTCTGTGAGCTAGAAGTGAGCTACCTAAATTATTCTACACCCGTTCTGTTGTTTAATTGTCCCTTAGATGGTGTAATAGAAGTGAAAGAAGTAGAAGGAGGATTGATGTATTTTATCAACTTAATTTAAAAAATTCTAGAGGTTGCTGTCTTAGTGTGTTGAATATTATGATGTCAGTTCTAAGCTTGACTGTCTTTTGTATTTGGGAAAGTGACAAGTCCATTTAAGACTTCACAACATAAAACGAGGCATAATTCGGTACTGAAAATATGTGGAGTAAAATGGTGAGAGACATCAGCATAATAAAATTATGACACATTAGATCAGGATTTGCAGCATACCATTAGCAATCAGTTCTGACTGTGGATTACAATTACGGTTTTCATGCCTTTTAGAAATCTCTTTTCTTTTTTATTATCTTTTTTAATAAAAATTGTATGTTTTCTGTTTTAATAAATGCTGTGATATCTGCTGCCTAGGCATACAGAGAAAGAGGGAAAACATTAAATAAGATAAAGCTGTAAAAGAAATGAGCAAAAAAAATACAAACATAAAAACCCCAATCAAACAAATAAAAAAAGCCCCACAACCAAAATCCTTGTTCCTGTCACTGATTGGAATTATTCTGACATTATTAGTGATTTGGATTTCAAGTACCTTGCTTTATTCATAGCTTTCTTTATTTCTTTTAATATCATTTTTTTCAATTGTAACATGAAAGCAAGTAGAAAAATCAGGAGTGAAAGTGTGTTGAAACTAAAGGCTTAGTGTTTCTGTCCTTTAGGAGGAACTGTGAGAAGTGCTTGAATCTGAGTTTGCAAGGAAGAATCTGAAGCAGGAAAGTAGAGAAACTTACCTAAGCCCGCAGGTCTTTCCCCAGTTGCTGTTTTGGGAAAATACTCAAAACAGCCTGGCCCTCTGCATGCTGTCACAAACTTCAGTGGCACATTCTGCTGAGAGTGCTGTGGACTTCACATGCTCAATTTTCTTCTGTGAGGCAAATAGAGCAGTTGAGTGTCTTCTGTGCTTCACACACACCTATTCAAAGGAACTACAGTCTGTTAGCATTTTTTTCTTTTTTTTTGTAAAGCAAAAGCAGGGGGAATATTGAAAAAAGAAATATTTTGCCGTTTTTCTGCTACCTATTCAATGAGAAAAGTTAATGAAGCCATCCTTACCCTAAAAAAATGTATATTTTTAGGTCATTTTTTGTATAGTTTCTTAAATTTCTTAACAAGAAGATAGTAACTAGCAGCTTGTGGTATAGTCTACTGAACTGCTTGATTTTTTTAAAAATAAATTTATTACCCCTCTTATGCCCCTGTATTTATAACATTCTTGTCCTTTTCTCTTTGCAAGAGGCAGGAGAATTTTTCAACTGAGGGAAGCAGAAATAAAATAAACCCAACTCTGTACACTACTTATCTATTAAGTAAACAGCTTTAGACTGCAAAGTTGAAGAGATTTTTCTGCAGCTCTATTGTGTAACACAGGGCAGCACTGACTTTCTTTTTCAAACAGGAGTAAACATTTACCCAGTGGGGCCAAATGAATCCCGGTGCCCTAATGACATGTGTCTTGTGAGGGTGCAAAGAATCTTCTGAGGAAAGTTGCATTTAGCACCTTCGTACTCCCATTGATGGATACTTCCTAATGCTGAACTGTCAAAATTTAGCTATATTTATTTTGCTGTTTTATTAGGTCTGGCAGTAGGACAAAAGGAATTTGAGTGACATTCTGTTTAAAGCCAACCTGCAAGGTAATTGCAGCAGGCAGAATGGGTGCTAGCAAAATAAATAAATAAAAACAGCAACAACTACAAAAACAAAAAGCACCAGATGCAATGAAACACAGGGATCAGGTGAATTGCTTGAACTTTGGATACAATGAGATTGCTCTTCCAGGCTTCGTTTTGTGCTGGAAAGCCTACCACTGCCTTTGTATTCCTCCAAAAGTGCTTGTTGTGTTATTCTGTGACCAGAGTAGATCTCATCGCATCATGCTCGTATCAAATCTACTGCCTCTCCACTCAAATGCTTTGCTTCTATAGGGCCACTGTTCTCATCCTTTTTTCACTATCTATGTTATTATTTTTCACTCTCTTATAGCAGTGCTAACATTCTATCTAAACTGTGACTGTATACATAGGAATAGATAGCATTGAAATTGCATGAAGTGTCCCTCTAATTTCTTTTCTGCTGACTGAGATAAGCAAATTGGACTGAAGACTGGAGAGGAATACAGGGCCCTTGCCAGCTTCCTTTAGGTGCCAAAGCGTTCACTGATGCTAAAAATGAGGGCAAGAACAAATGCACACGTGCATCATTCGTTAGGGGATCTATGCAAACTGCATGTCATGGTGCTTCGTAGAGGATGTCTTATAGTAGAACATTTGTGGAAGAACTAAAGACAATGGCTGGGTGGAAGCTCTTTCAAAATTGTGGCTTCTGAGAGCCATAGTCTTGGGCTGGCTTCCCCCTTCACTGGTTGCAGTGGAAATAGACTTTGTATCGCTTTTGTTCTGAGATTTCAAAAGGAATGAGGACAGGGATCTTGAAATTGAAAATATTAGTTGTTGTTTGGCTGATGCCTAAGGTTAGCACCTTCAGGTTAACCTGTCATTTTGCAGGATTGTACGTCCTCTTCCTGATGTTGCTTTAAGATCGTAAGCTATTTGTTTAGAAAATATTTTACTCTGCTAAACTCTTACTGAGTGAAAAACTATGTAGGTGGATAGATTGTTTTCTACAATTATGTGTCTCCTGCTATAAGTAACAGATTGTTGTAGGTTAATATACAAGGTTGAATTTAGCTGGTTTTATGGAGCATTTTTGAAATATATGTATTTCGATTGGCTTAGTTAAAATGCATGCATTAAGAATAATACTTACTGCACCTTTTATTTCATGACTTGCTTAGAAGTTTCACCAGCTAAAGGGAAAGAAAAAACGTACCAGATTAACCTTAAAACTACCTCATGTCAATTCATTGCATTACTTAAGGCTGTGCACTATATGGTCTTTAGCAGAACCACAATAAAATTGCTATTTTTGGCACTGACTGTTGTGCTCGTCCATTCCTGTTGATGGTTTGTATTCACTTTGGGGTTGTAATGTTGAACAAGAGACTCAGTCTTGTTTCATGATACATTTGCTATGATACTGTGCACTAAACTTGCTGTTATTTGTCTTTTATTTGTTTTATTTTTTCTTGTTCCAGCATAAAGCCAAGGTAGAAGCGATGACCTTAGACCTTGCTTCTCTTCGCAGTGTGCAGAACTTTGCTGAAGCATTCAAATCCAAGAATATGTAAGTACTCAGAAGATTACATTTAATAATTTCTTGTTATTTATCAGCTGAGCAAAATTGGCAGAACACCATAGCTGGACTGATCAGAAGTTACAGTACGTAAATGAGACTCTTTGTTTTCATCCTAGAAAATAATCACAGAATCACAGAATCACCCGGGTTGGAAGGGACCCCAAGGATCATGTAGTTCCAACCCCCCTGCCTAGCAGGGCCACCAAACATACACATTCAGATCAGGTTGCCCAGGACCCCGTCCAACCTGGCCTTAAACACGTCCAAGGACGGGGCATCCACAACCTCCCTGGGCAGCCCGTTCCAGGGCCTAACCACTCTCCTAGTAAAGAACTTCCCCCTAACATCCAACCTAAATCTTCCCTCCTTCAACTTAAAACCATTTCCCCTAGTCCTGCTGTTATCAGCCCTTCTGAACAGTTTACTCCCCTCCTGGGTGTAGGTTCCCTTCAGGTATTGATAGGCTGCAATGAGGTCACCCCGCAGCCTTCTCTTCTCCAGGCTGAAGATCTCAATATTCTCAATATTCAATGTGTGGCCACATCTTAAACCTAAAGGAGGGCATCGATAATTCTCTAGCTATTGAGAAAGGCCGAAGATTAACAGTATAAAAAACAGATCAGGGAAGTTTTATCCACTTTGCTGTGGTTTGAAAGTTTGTGGATGAATAGTTAGCACACTCATCGTCTTGCTTTCTTGTCTAACTTTCTGTATCCTTATTTTTAAAGCATTTTCAGAAAATGGCCCTTTGAGCCAAACAACTCAGTTTCACAGACCTGTATCTGAAATAGCCTATGACAAATTTAAAAAATAAAAAATAAAAAAATAAAATAAAGCTGGTGGTAATAACAGAGCCTAACAAAAGGGCAGTTTGTTTATTCAAGTTGAATTCCAAACAGTTGGCTTGCTTTAGCTTGAATGTAAATCTTTAAATAAATGATCTCAATTTTTGTAAGTGCCACCTCTTTACAACAAATTCAGCACTCTGTGCTTTTATCCAGATTTTCCAAATGATGTGAGCTATTCTAACTTTTCTTTTTCTCTGCAAATATTTTTATAGTGCATGCACATCTTAGTGTATACAATGCATGCAATTCTTATTTCTTAATTCTCTTTTGAAGAGAATATGGTTTCTTAGAATGTTTTGAAAATATATATTAAAAAAATGTATTTGACAAAATGGAATGGTTTTTCACTTTTTAGTTACTACTAAAGCTAAATCACAGACCACATTTTTGGACTCACAGGTCCCTTAGATTCAAAGAATCATCAAAACTAAGTTCTAACACAAACTTGTTCACTGCCAAAATACTTTGTAACAGTGTTTTTGTGCTGTATAGCATCTTCATGCCTGCAAATTTTTGTGAAATACAAAGGCAAAGCCTTGCAGTATTGAATCTTTAATACTAACTCAGTTTCATAACATGTTTTAATTTAGAACAGAAAGATTAGAAAGAAATTTACTTTAATTTCTTTATGCTTTAAGTATGCTACATTTATTTTAAAAGAGGATGTGGTACTGTGAAAAGTTAAAACCACCCTTCTTTGAATGCAGTTCTTAACTTGGTTTGTGCATTGCCAATCATATTGTACGGTCATACCATTATTTGGTATGCATGTTATAAATCCTTGGAAGTGAATGTTCTTAAATGCCGTTTTGCTATAGAAATTAGAAAATGAAAAGATTCAGAATCAGTAAAACCTGTTTGACTTCTGTTAGCGTGCATTGTTTTACCAGTGCTTAGCTATGTTGCCCCCGATCGTGGTTATTAATGTTTTGCTCTCGTTTTATTCTGCAGCATTTTAGTCACAGACAACAGGCTGTGTCTTGCCCTTCGGATATTTCTGTCTAGAATCTGTGCTCAGATGCGTGTGTGTCTGGTGGAGCTGCTCTAAGCGTTATTGAAAAGTCAAAGGCCCTGCAACTATTGAGAAGCTTGTGGGTTTAGGCAAAAATGAATTTCCAGCTATATTTTGTTTAAACTTTGAGACTGGATGGAAACCAGACTCTTGCCCTGCCTGTCGCAGTGGGTTTTCCGTCTGATATGGATACACAAGAGTTACCTTGCAAGCATCTGTGCAGGCAGGAGAGTGGACTGGAAGACCTACTAGGCTTTTCAGGCTCTGTTTTTTTTAGTGATATGACTGTTTCTAGATATGGTCAGAAAAGCAATTATGTGGCAATAGCATCTTATTACTGCAATGCCAGCCCTATGTGTTTTCCAGCTCTAATGTGCACTAACTACTTTTGTCTCTGTTTTGCAGTCATGTCCAGAGGCCTTTGTCAGATCAGTGATTCCTTTGCATTAGTAGCTTTTTGAGCAATTGAAGAAAACCTTACAGGCTTCAGTGTCAAGCTGAATGAATCTTGTACTTTATGCTTTGGCAAGTCCATAAGCTGGTAGCTTAACATTCATAAGGCTTCGGTTTCTCTGCTTTCATGAACCTGAGTGAGAGGGTGTACTGTGATACACTCACAGTTTTACATAGCAGCTGTAAATCTTGTTTACAGACATAGGAGATATTGGATAAGTATAGAGTTTTTCTTCCAAAATCCTCCTACAAATTCTTTAGCAATAAAGTAGTAGAAAAAGCGAGTTGTTTTTTTGTTTTCTGAAGGATATAATCATTTGAGTTCTGAGTTTTATAGTTCTCAGTTTCTTGGGCAAAGCTACAGTGGTTTTTAAAGTGTGAAGGACAAATTGTATATGAACACACGCACACGGTTTTCTCTGTAAATGTTTATATTTTCATTTCTCTCAGCACACTGTGTAAAGAGGCCTTTATTATTCAGTAGTGAACTTCTTACACTTCTAGGTGCAGACAGTTTTCTTGTTTGCATAGTTTCTCTAGTCTGGTATTGCTTTCTGGGACACTGGTATTCTATAGAAACTGTTGGTGACATCTGACCTAATAGATGAAGGTGTTAAAAACAGAGAATAGATTTGCTTGTCTTTTTAGATTCTGCTCTCCTGGAACATTTTATGGCTCTGGATATTATATCCTGTCATCAGATAGAAGGATGTACTCGTAGCCACATCACAGCCTGGGAATGGGTTCTTCCTTGGCTGATAGCTGTTGGAAGAGAATCTTGGAGGACTTTGTTTCACAGATCTTTTCCTGAATAAGAAAGCTAAAGTGGAACTACTTCAGATAAAAGTATCCCGAAATTTCTACTGCTTAACAGATCAAAACTTCTTTTAGATGGATTGAGGATTGCAAGGGTTAGAGGAAAAAATGCTGAACTAGTAAAAACCAGGAGAAAAAGCTGCCTTCTTGAATGTGTTTGAGAATCAAAGAGATCTTGAAAACTACATGAAGAATGGAGAAAAACATCATCCTCTGCTCAGCAGGGGCTGGCTGCATGAAATAACAAATAGGGCAACAGAGGAAGCATTGAGAAAAACATAAGTAGTAAATGGGAGGAAAGAGTTACTCTGGAAGGGAACTTTTAATACAATTTGGAGTAGTACGTAAGAGCTAAGATAAAAGTAAAAATCAGATGATTAATCTTAGAAGCACGAAAACTCAAAGAGATTTGAAAGGAACCTTGTATTCCCTTTTGGATTTATTAGGTGTTGCAGCCTTGTCCACAGATAAAATTTGAGCTTAGAGTGTATAAACACTGGTAAATTATGCTGTATTCATATAAATATACTCCAGAAAATCCTTTGGCCTCATGGAAGAAAATAGTTTTTTGTTTAGAAAATAGTTTTTTGTTTTCCACTATTTATACTCTTCTGAGACTTTTCTTTATCCATGTAGTCTTAAATGAAACTTTGGGATAAAAGTCTATCCTAGGTCTTGCAGTTCTGTGATTGAAGCTGAATGCAAGCTTACCTTACCAGAACAGCGCTTTCCAGTTTTAATTTCTCTTTCAGTTAAAAAGATTCTGTGGGAAGAACAAGGTAAATATAATAACTGCAGTTCAATCTCCCAAAGTCTTCTGACAAAATATGACAATATTGCTGATCTATCTCTTATTTCATCATGGGACTGCAGGACTGCAGCACAACCTGAACATGATGTGACCTAGGAGTGAAATGGTAGGCTGACCTGACTGCCAGGTAGGGCCAAAGAGTTTGCAAAACAAATTGTTTAGAGAAAGCATTCATTATGGCACAGTAATGGTTACAAATTTTAGGTTCTCTCGAGGTTTTGAAATGCAGTGCTGATCTTTCTGTGATTTTTTACTGTCATTTGTGACTCTTTGAGGACGCTGGCTCGTATTTCTAGGTCGATTTCTCACTGGCCGTTTCTACCAGGAGTGGGTGACTTCCACCTCTGATGAAGATAGTGGTAGGGTTAGGATGAGAACAGGAAGAAAGGGATCAATGCACCCAAGAGCTAAATTTCTCAAGTTATTTCTACTATCTGTTTCTGGTCTTTCCCCTCTGCTAGTTTTCAGCTCAGGCAGTTGATTGAATGTCTCTGTTAAGGAAAATCAAATAAATGATCTGTTTATAATAATGTTCTGGGCTAGGATGGATTTGGCATTAGCTGCTTTTTGTGCAGTTGGATGAGGCAGACAATCCAATCTTTCATATTAGGCTTTTGGAACTAAAAACATTGAATTGAATCTTCTCTACATTGACAGGGCACAATGTGAGGAATTATGGTTGGTATTAATCCCACTTTATTAGACAAATGACTGCCCTCCCGTGCTTGTATGCAACATAGCATTTAAATCTAGCCAGAATCAGTGTTTGACTGTTCATGGACTGCAGGATTTGGAATTTTTAAAGGAACTTCTATTTGATATTCTGGTCATCACACATTCTACTATAGCCTGCATGGTTTAATTGTGAAGGAGAGGTAATATCTCATCCCTAAAATGTCCAGAGCAGGTATTGTTTTTTTTTTGGCCAATACTTACAATCATTGTATCATGCTTCCTTGCATGATCCTCAGCATAAGAACTGTGACATGATCAAAACAGCGAGCAGAACTAAATGATCAAGTTGCAGATTGAATTTTATGTGCATCTT